GAAGAATGAGTGGTCAGATAGGACAGAGGCCCTGAGACTGGGGTCTGTGGATCTTCCTAAAATGTGTGCAGGACTGCATGTGCATGCATTGTTGGAGGCCCACAGAATGTAACAAAAAAGACATGAACAGCCAGGTGAAGCACAGGGCAAGGAACAGAAGGGTTTTTGGTGCAGGAGCCTCTGTCCCCGTGGAGTTGGGGGCACCATCCGCAATGCACACGGATTTATCCTGCAACTCAGAAGCTCCCTGACCACAACTTTTAGGGTTTGTTTTTATCTTCATCACATAGGTGAGATTATTAGCTCAAATTCCATCCTCTTTCCCCCAGAGAATGGTGTGGTTGAGACTCTAAAGTTCCAAGCTTCTGATTGTGCTGTATAGTCTTTCTCATAATCATTCTCTATCTGGAAGCTGTCTGAGAGCCAACCAAGAGTCCTTATTAAAATAAAAGGAATTCCTGTCACCTGGGAGATTCCAGTGCAATTAGGAACTCTGAGGAGTCAAAGTCAAACACCAATTTTAGAACAAAATATGTTTCTGGCATGACTATCACTCAGAAAAATATGGTAATTTTTTAAGGAGTTCTGTACCAAGAACTTGGGGCAAAGACAAAATTTATATTTAATATATTATACACCATAATCTGCAGATACAACAATGAATCTAATGTTCAAAATGGAACAATAAATTAAGGCAGATGGCAGGTACCAGATCGCTCACTGTTGGAATGAAAAGTTATAAGTAATCAAGGGGCAAAGGCAGAGTTATCAATCATAATGCACTGGAGACATCAGCACAAACGCATGTTCAGCCTCACACACAGACAGTTCCACTTGAAAACCTTATGATTAAGTGTGTGAGTAGATTAGGATGCTCATACATGTGTGGGTCTGCACGGTTGAGAGGCAGTGAGAACATCCAGAGGCCAGATGAGGTTTTCATACCTCTCTCAAATGTAAGGAACCAGAGCTCTTTGAGGAAGTGGCTGACACTAGGACTGGGACAGTAAATATGGGAGCCAGGGTCATTTCAAGTCATAAAGCAAGGAATGTGGGACAAAACCATGAAAATATGTTAAAGGAAAACAGGAGCTAATGGAAAGATCTCCCAGTGGAAAGCATTCCAATCACTAAAGCAGAAATGAATTGAGCTACAGAATATTGAGAATTGGAAAACAACCACAGCTTAAGGCAACTATCCAGATGTGCACAATGCACAAATAATGATGTAACAGGTAAACGAGTGCAGAATTCCAAATAACTAATGTGCACACTTGGCTTTGGAAAAGGCACAGACCCCCCCACTCCCCAGGTGGTGGCACAAGAGGAACAAGGGCAGCACAGTCTGAGTAACTCCAGATGTGGTTGTTTTATGGGAAAAAATACTTTACCTGCTATAAATCACAAAGGGTTGCTGGATGCCCCAACTCTTGAACGTCTCCAAATTTCATTGAACTCCTATGAAATGTTATTACATACATCTAGTTATAGGGGTAATGATAACAAAAGGACCCGTAGGGGCTGGGATGTAGCTCAGTGATAGCATGCTTGCCTAGTATGCATGAGGCCCTGGGTTCCAGATCCAGCACCATAGGAAAAGGGGGATCTGTGCTTTATCTGTGTAATCAAATAGAAAATGAATAATCACTGCTCTTAAGAAAACATGTTGGAGCTGAGACATAGCTGAGGCTCCCAAAATTAACACTCTCCTTACCATGGACTGCAGAAGTAGCTTGTCATGAGGAACAGTGTCCCCTCAAGGACATCATCAGCAACAAAAGGATTTATTGACTCCTGGAAAGAAAAGTGACATAGTCTACCTTAGGAAATTATACATAAATTGAGAACATGAGAATGATATTCTCCCAGACAGACCATAACAGACAACTGCAGCAGGCGTAGTGTGGAAGCCATTGTGTCAACCTCTCCAAAATGACTAAACCCTATCTGCACTTTGTTCGATTCACAATATTTTTTTTTTTTTTTTGTAGGGGTGGTACCTGGGATTGAACTCAGGGGCATTTGACCACTGAGCCACATCTCCAGCCCTATTTTGTATCTTATTTAGAGACAGGGTCTCACTAAGTTGCTTAGCACCTCACTTTTGCTGAGGCTAGCTTTGAATACACGATCCTCCTGTCAGCCTCTCGAGCCACTGGTATTATAGGCATGCACCACCACACCCAACGTTCAGTTCACAATCTTAATGTCAAATTTCTGCTTTTTGTTAATCCAAATACAGTAAAAAGTATATGTTTTATTTTAATGAACTCAATCAACAAACATGATATATTTTCACCTGTTAAAGACAGAATTTCTTTTTCTAAAATTTAGAAAGCCTATTAAAAATTTTATATTCATCAGAAAATTGCTTTCATTCCTCATAAGCAAGAAAATTAACACACACTTATACATATGTAACCTCAAAAGAAGAAATTCATTTGCTGAGCCACTTTTTAAAGTATTTTTGAATAGAGGGGAAATAGTAAAGTTTCCAGTGAAAATCCCTGACACATGGTACAACACACTTGTAATCTCAGCTAATATGTAGGCTGAGGAAGGGGACCAAAGTTTGAGGCCAGCCTGGGAAACCTGGCAGGTAAGGATATAGCTCAGCAATAGAGCCTCCCTGAGTTTGATCCCCAGTACTGTCAAGAAAAAAAATCCTACAATATATAAAGCACAGTGTTTATTAGAAGGCCCATTTTCTTGCTTACAAGGAATAAAAGCAATTTTCTGATGAATGTAAAATTTTTAATAGGCTTTCTAAATTTTAGAAAAAGAAATTCTGTCTTTAACAGGTGAAAATTTATTTTAGTAAATGGATATGATTTGCAGATTGTGGTTACTGATTTACCTCTTACATATCCCAATGACTTAAGTCCTGAAGAAATGTCATCTTAGAATGATTTTAGATATCATGCAATATTTATAGTTAGCCTCAAAAATATCACCACTCTGTGTCTTTAAAAACTGATTCAGATTTTTTTGCTTAGAACAATCTAATCCAAATTTGTAACATACCTTGGAGTGTGTGGATAAATATATAATCTTTTTAAACACTACCCTGCCAAACATATTTCCAGTGCTGGGAATGCTAGGCAAAGACTGAGCTACCCCAAAGACATTTCAGTAAGCAGAAATTAATTACAAATCACTTAAGATTTTCATAAGAAATTGCCAGCAAGACACTTCCAGCAAAAACAAGATACAAAGTATATTTAAAAAATATTGTTTGATGGTGGAATGTGATGGACATCACATGAATTAATGTGAACATATTTTATATACAGAGATATGAAAAATTGTGTTCTATATATGTAATAAGAATTGTGATGCATTTTGCTGTCATGTATTTAAAAAATAAAAGCAATTAAAAATAAATAAATAAATAATACTGTTGATGAAAAATAGAAGTACATAAGATTAAGGAATTCTGTAGAAAACTAAAAAGGGAAGTAAAATAAAAATCAAATGCAAAAACACTTGTCACATCAACCTGAAAATTTAGATAGAGGAAATGAGTGACTTTTGAGTAAAAATACACATTAATAAAATGACTCAAAATATCAAACGGACCAATCAGCACAGAAGATCTTGCAATGATGCCGAGTTCCACTGCAAAAGACCCCTGGACTGTAGAGGCTCGAAACTATGTTAAATGACTCTCACAAATCCTAATTTTAAATAAGATGGTCCAGATCTACAGAAAGAAAGAAGAGAGGTAGCTTTTTCAACTCATCCTTGTATACTATCAAAGCCTGGCATAGTCAAGAGTTTGTCTGTGTGGGGGTGGTGATTTCTACACAACAGATGTTATTTTCTGTGCTACTGTTAATATGATGTGACTTTCTCAACCAAAGAAAGTAATGAGTTAACTTCCGTGAATGTCATGGAATAAACGTTAGCAAATTCTGGCTTCGCATACAAAATATATTTCAATAATGCTGCAAGTTTTCACACACCTGTTTTTCAATTTTTCAACTCTATTACTTTAGCACTATAAGGAAAATGAACAATCAAAACATGAATAACAGTAGTGGTGTGGTGGAACCCTCCCTGGGCTCAGCAGTGACTCTGGGGTGCCTCACTGGCTTCTATTGTGACCCTCCAAATGTGTCAGGGCTTCTCCTTCCTCCACACCAGGTTTTTACTCACATGGACCCAGAGTCGGTGTGCTGAAGAGCCATCAGAGCCTCAGTGGAGGGGTGCTTTCCTAAAATAACCCTTGCTAAATTAGGCAAGAAAACCAGATGAATATAAAGGCTCCCTCCAAAAATGTCTCCAGCATGCCAATGCCCCTGAACAGGCAAAACCAACAGGAGAGAACTACTGTGTGGTTGACAATGACTTTTTTATGTTCCACAATATATTTAAGCATTTCTATTTGAAAATTTCTCTCTATTGTTTTCTGTTCATTAAAAATTCTGATATAGGGCTGGGGATGTGGCTCAAACGGTAGCACGCTCGCCTGGCATGCGTGCAGCCCAGGTTCGATCATCAGCACCACATACAAACAAAGATGTTGTGTCCACCGAAAACTAAAAAATAATAAATATTAAAAATTCTCTCTCTCTCTTTAAAAAAAATTCTGATATATAAAAATACTGTGCTTTGTTAAAAGCTGGTAACAAGGCTGGGGCTATAGCTCAGTTGGTAGAGCGCTTGCCTTGCATGCACAAGGCCCTGGGTTCAATCCCCAGCACTACACACACACACACACACACACACAGGCTGGTAACATTGCAACATTAACAAAAATTTACTGTTTAATGAGCTGTCCCTTCCTGATGAAAGTATCCCCAAATTCATTTCTCCCGTTTCTCTGAACATCTACTATACCAACTTGGGGATGAAAGGAGACCACACAGGATTCTTTCTCTTGTGTGGATTTTGATAAACAGAGGCTAGTAATTTTGCTCAGAAAGATTTTCCACCTTCAAAAAGTGAATCAGGAAAAGTGGACTATTGGGTTATAATGCAAACAAACCACACATACAATGACTTAAGAGTATTTATTTCTCTCTAATACAAAGTAACAAGGGAGATTCCAGGGTAGAGTTTTGGAGATCTCTGCTCTCCTCAATCAATTCCTTCTCAAATCACAGTGGCCTTATCCCACCAACAGCTCCCAGTATCACCCTGGGATCATCTGGACTTAAGTCCCACAGGGTATGGGAAATTGGGAAGCACCACAGTCACCAGTCGCTAGATGTGGGCATGACATCCAAGCTTGCATCCACATCCCTCTGGACAGCACTCAGGTCCAGGACACAACAGTAAGGCTGAGAAGTGCAGACTCAGTGTATGTCCACTGAAAGGAGAGTGGGGAGCACACACCTGCCTCTGCCATGCAGCGCACCTTGTGGAAGTTCTCTGAAGCTTGATGACTGCTCTGACAAAGGCTGGCTTTTCTCTCCTGTGAGTGCTTAGGTGCCTACTGAGGTCTGACTTCCTATCAAAAGATTTCCCACATTCTTGAAGCACAGGTTTCTACCTTGTATGAGTTCTCTGGTGCCTGCTGAGGTGTGATTTCTGGCAAAAGGTCTTCCTACACTCATCACACCCATAGGGCTTCTCTCCCGTGTGGGTCCTCTGGTGCACAGTGAGGACAGACTTCTGGTAGAAAGACTTCCCACATTTGCTACATCCATAGGGCTTCTCTCCTGTGTGGGTCCTCTGATGTACAGTGAGGTCTGACTTCTGGTAGAAAGACTTCCCACACTCCTTACATTCATAGGGCTTCTCTCCTGTGTGTGTTCTCTGATGAACAGTGAGTTTTGACTTCTGATAGAAAGTTTTCCCACACTCATCACATTCATAGGGTTTCTCTCCTGTGTGCGTCCTCTGGTGCACAGTGAGGTCTGACTTCTTGTAGAAAGACTTCCCGCATTCCTTGCATTCATAGGGCTTCTCTCCTGTGTGGGTCCTCTGGTGTAGAATAAGGTCTGACTTCTGGTTGAAAGACTTCCCGCATTTGCTGCATTCATAAGGCTTCTCTCCCGTGTGGGTCCTCTGGTGCCTGCTCAGATTCGACTTCTGGTTGAAAGACTTCCTACACTCATCACACTCATAGGGTTTCTCCCCTGTGTGGGTCCTCTGGTGCACGGTGAGGTCTGACCTGCGGTAGAAAGATTTCCCGCACTCGTGACACTCATGAGGCTTCTCCCCTGCGTGAGCTCTCGGCTGTAAAGTGAGGTCTGGCTTCTGGCAGAGAGACTGAGCACCCAAGTCACACTTACAGGGCTCCTGTGTATGTGTTCTTTGCTGTGTCAGGAAGGGCCTCTCACATTCACTGCACACCCAAAGTTTCGTTCTCTGGTGGTGAGTGAGTGTGGGCTTGATGGAGAGGGTCTTTCGGCAGACCCCACACTCATAAGCTCTCCTTCCCACATGGGTTATCCCCTGGACACCAACAGCAAACTGACCACAGCCCTCCGCATAGGCACTGTATTTGCAGGAGGGTTCTCCCAGGTGAACCCTCTCCTGGATGAAGAATATCGTCCCTGTGCCACAGGCCCCATCTTCTCCACCCCGCTCAAGGTCCTGCTGCATTGCTTGAATCTCATGTTGTGGACCAAGATGCTCAGGGTGCCAGAGGGGCTTTCCAGTCAGGTCACAGGCACCAGGCCCCTCTCCTACATGCATGGCATCAGGCTCGCCAGGAAGAAGCATGTTCTGATATACAACAAGCTCATCCATCCTCATTCCTAAGTAGTTTCCATTACTTACAATCAGCTCTGAAATCTGGCTTGAGCTTAAATTAAATGCTCTTTGTAATTCAACTCTCTCTTCGGCTGCACTGCGGCTGGTGATCACAACTTGCCACAGATGTCTTTCTCGACTCTCCTGGCTGGTCTCACTCAGATCCTCCACTTTCTGGATATCTGAAATGATCAACAACAACAAAACATGCCAATGAAGCACACACCTAGGCACTTCTTATGGAATACTTACATAAAGGTTAAGAAGTTTCTTTCTATCCCAGTGGCCCTACTGACTTAAAATATCAAAAATAGGTACTGATGTATGATAAGCATATGCCTTTTCTCCCTAGTAAGTTGAGAGCTACCTCAACATTGGTAGCTTTTACTACGTTAAATCACTCTTTTTCTCTTCTTGTTTGAGTTTTCTTTCTCTTTTAATATCCAAGGAAATATTTAGTCAAAATATCTAACTACCACTTGTCTGTATGTAAAGCTGAGTGCTTCTCATCTGCCATTTGTTTTCCTTCCTTTTGTCTATTTTTTCTTAGTAACTGACCACTTTGTGCCACTTCTTTTCTGATCCATTAGCTCTGAAGATGCTATTTCCCAGGATCTGCTACCACAGAACAAATAGGGCCATTTGTCTGTAACCTAAGCAGCAATGCCCCTGGGGGCAAGCTTCTATATCTACATTTGTTTAGTCTTCCTGGGGAAACAGCTACAAGGCAACTGTGGGGTTTTCAAATCTCTTCCCCACCCTAGATGAAGATGACGTCCATCACATCCCTAGTTCAACCTGACATCCTCTGCTTTTCAGAACTGTAACAGGCAGGGTCTACACCCATTGCCGCCGTGGGCACTCCCTCCCTGCTGATCTAAAGGTTTTTTTCTGCAACCCAGGCTGTGCCTGCCATCACTGAGAAGTCTTCCAGCTGAGAGCACAGCCCTGGCACTCTCCTGTTTCTGGAGCATGCACCCTGCTTGAAGAATGTACTGATATTTCAACAGTCTCCTGGTTTCACAGAAAACAACTCTTGCACGCATCTCACTCTCCTTGTTGTTTTCATGTGTCCCACAAAGAGAAAGGGAAAATGTTCACTTCAATAACTCCACTCCCAAATAGAAACCTATGCTCTCACACCCTTGGTTCACCTGGCCTTGAAACACAGATCTCTAGTTCTCCTCCCAACTGGGGAAAGACTATGAGAGGAGCTCAACAGCACACCCACCTCATGTGGATTGGACTCTGCCCATCCCAGCCCCCTGCCAGGGTGTGCTGACTGACCTGAGTGGCTCTGGTCTGGGGGCTCTTCTGCCACCCATGGCTCTGCTCCTTGCTCCAGCTTGATGATCACCTCAGGTTTGGGGATGCAGTGCCCTGTTGGGGGAAATGGTGCAGGACTCTGGCCTACGGTGGGTCCTCCTCAGCATCATAGAATATCATGTCCTGTACACAAAGCTATCTCCTAGATTTCTTTTCTCATTTTTCTTTACTCCTTAGGTGAGCTTTATAAATAATAGCTCTTGACTTTAAATTACAGCTTTAAACTATTAGTTTCCAAAGTCATATCTCCATCACTGATACACACTCTATATTATAAGTTGCATTTGGAAAATCACCTCCTCAAAATTAAGCAGTCCCAAAGTAAACTATAATCTCTCTAAAACAGTTTCCTCTTGGGACCCTTCCCAAAATACACCCCACTCACTCTGCCTTATCCAAGAAAAACATTTTTGGTGGTTCTTATCTCACAACTACATATATTTGGTTTTTCTTTCTCAAAAAAAAATTAAGTTCTTTAAAAGGAGATATATGTGTTTAATCACTGCTGTTATTCCCACAGCCACCAAACACTATCATCTGTGAGTTACCTGCCTGGCAAGCACTGAAAGAACCAGTGAATGCTGTGATAAATATCTGCGGGGGACAGTCCTGAAGTGTGAGGGGGAAGGGGCAACTGAGACTTTAGAGAAGCTTGCTGAGAAAAAAGCCCAGGAGCCGTGGGATGGTGGATGGACATAGGACAGCCACCTGTGAAGACTGTAGGGCGCAGGTGTCTGACTCAGAGGTAGGACCAGGGGAAATGCCTCATCCAGCTCACTCGGCACACATGGGCTGGGCTCTGCCCCTCCCGCCCCCTGCCCAGGATATGCTGACTGACCTGGATGGCTCTGGTSTGGGGGCTCTTCTGCCACCCACGGCTCTGCTCCTTGTTCCAGCTTGATGATCGCATCAGGTTTGGGGATGCAGTGCCCTGTTGGAGGAAATAGTGCAGGACTTTGGCCACACTGCTACCCAGGGTCCTCTGAGGAACAACAATAGTATGGCTTCTGGAGGAGGGTAATGAAGGGATCAATATGAACCTTTGTTAGTGGAACCCCATACCCTGACAGCAGTGCTCACACTTCCTCAGAACAAACTTGCTCCTGGCATTACTGAGACCTTCACTCACCCAAGGACACCAGGCTGCTATAGGTCTCCAGCATCACATCCTTGTACAAGGTCCTCTGAGCTTCATCCAGGTCCTGCCACTCATCCCAGCTGAAGTTCACAGCCACATCCTCAAATGACACCAAGCCCTGCAATGGAACATGACTCTAATTAAAATCATCAGTACCAGGTCATGAGTACAAGAAGCCTGGGAGTTCATTCTGTATGTGTGAGCACGCTCTGTAGGTCACTCCGTGGGGAAAAAGTCACAGCAGAAACATCCTGCCCATACTAAAACTGCTCCACGCAGCTTCCCTTGCAGATGTGGGATTGCCTTGTTTCCAGGGACAAAGGGATGGAAAACCCCTTCCCCCACGAGATTATGAACGTATGAGGACATTAAATGTAAGTGCCTACTGAACTAGGGTGTTGAGCTAATTTAAAAGCAAGTATAATGGAAATCAGGGTAACATGGAAATAGGAAAGCCATGTTTTTCTGTGTTATCAGACTGCCCTTCACTGAAGAGGCAGAGCCCCAATCTTCCCCATGAATGTGTTATAAACACAGGGAAGTAATGGTCCAGTCCTGAAACAAGGCAGAACACATATCACATGAACAGAACTGCAAAATGGCAATGTCCAGGTGAGTGACCTTTGGCTCTGAAGTGTTCAAGGAGTTGGTTGTGGGTGTTCTACATTTAACACTTGACTCCAGCAATAAAAAACCTGTGCTCACTGTTGTTAGCATGCTCATAGGTATCTTCATATTTCCTTCCTAAATCCACAAGAATTGATGCACTTGAAAGTGAACATTTCTCACCTCTTATACCACAGGGCGTAAACAATGAGAAGCCAGCAAAAATAAGTGACATGCCCAGATTTGCATTTTAACACCAACTCCTGAAAGGAGAATTAGGGAAGGGCTTCAAGAGGAGAGTCGGGAAGAACCAGGGGACAGGACCACCCTCAGCAGGACCCAGAGAGATAAGTATAAAGAATAGGGAAACAATCCTGGAAAAGAGAAGAAAACAAAAGAAATGGCAGAAACAAAACTTGACACTAACTGCTGTGTAGGGGTTAAGAGGGTGTTTGCCACTAGGCTGTCTTCATGGGCAGCTCCATAGATCCTGATGCTATAAAATAAAAATGGTTTGTAAAGCCCAAGAATCTGATGCACAGAATGTGATGGACACATGGTGCTGAAGCTTCTGCATCATCATGGGGATGTTCTGATGGCAACGGACACGTGACCCAAGCACAGGGAACTCGAAACTGAAGGCAAATGTCCATGAAGTAGTAAGGACTCAGAGGCAACTGAAGCCCAGGGAGTAAATGGCATGCTCAGGAGAAGCTCAGATTCAAAGCAGAAAAGGCATGAGCACAGAACTTAAGGGGACACTCATGTTCACTGACACAGAGAGAATGTGTAAGGCTTACTCCAGCAACAAGGAAAAAGTTCAATATTAAGAATTTTATTTCATCATATTCAGAGCTCACGGAAAAGACTATGACTCAGGAGTCTGTGGCAGGAGGATGGCTGAGCCCAGGAGTTCAAGACCAGCCCAGGCAGAGGCCCCATTTCAAAAAAGATTACTGTGATCATCATGGGGACAACACTGATGAAAAAAAGCTGCAGCTCTGCTGGTTGGGACCTTGGACAGTAAAGTTCAGGCTGAGACAACAACCACAAAACTGGGGAGGGGCAAGTCCTAGGAGTGAGTGAGCTAAAGAATACAAGCCACCAAATCAGCACACAAGATCCACCAGAGTACTGGCCAACTTACACACTTGGGAAACCACAGAGGGATCAACAAGACACTAGTTTTAAAACTATGACTAAGTTGAAGAAAGATCAGGAGAGGAGAAGGAGGGGAGCAGGGGGAAGTCTGAATTAGAACAAATTATATTCCATACTTCAGGGGTAGAGCTCTCACCTAGCATGTGTGAGGCACTGGGTTTGATCCTCAGCACCACATAAAAATAAGGGAAAAAATGTATCCTAATGTTTAAAACTAAAAATAATCAATTAAAAAAAACCCAGCCCCTGGAAGCTGAAAGAGATGGAGAATCAGCTACTAATCCTCATAAGGAATATGTTGTTTGGATTTTGAATCCAGTCAGTGAGCTGCCTTATAGAACAAAAATCACTTCTCCAAAGAATTCAGTAGTATCCACAAACTCTAAGGTTTATAACACCCAGGATAAAACTCAGAATCACTGTTCATGTGAAGAAATTGGAAGAAGTGGGTGACTTACGTGTAGGGTGGAAAATCCCCAGAAACCAAACACAGTCCACTCAGCTATGACAGGAGAACAGACTGCTCAGCCACCAAGGACCACCTTCATGTCAGGAAGAAACATAGGAGGACCAGCAGTGGAAAAAGAAACCAGAAGAAAATGCAAAGTCTTTACCAGTAAAAACATTACAAAACCAGAATGGAAGTTTGCCAACTGATTTAGCAGCAGATGAGAAAAGACAAAAGAAAGCAATAGAACCTKAAGATGGTCAATATATATTTTTTGACCTTTATGAAAAAAAAAGAAGAAAAACAGAGTCTCAGAAAACAGTGGGGAAATTTAGAAATAATTCAACATGCACATTACTAGCATTTCAAAAGAAAACAAGTACAGAACACAAAACACAAGTTTATTTTTATTTTATTTTTTTTTTATTTATTTTTTAGTTCTCAGTGGACACAACATCTTTGTTGGTATGTGGTCTGAGGATCGAACCCGGGCCGCACGCATCCCAGGCGAGCGCGCTACCGCTGGAGCCACATCCCCAGCCCAGAAAACACAAGTTTAGAAACCTCCCCAGATGTTGTGACAGCAGTTTATAGGCTCAAGACACTCAACCTCCCTTCATCAGGACAGAAACTATCTGGGAACATAACAGTGGAACTGATGAGATCCCAAGAAAAGAGAGGAGCATGAAAGCAGCCAAAGAAAGGACAGCCACCATGCCTGAGACAGCCACATGTGAGGAACGCCAACTCTCATCATGGAAAGACATCTTCACAGAGTTGACAGAAAAGACACAATCCCACACCAGAGGAACTATCCTAAAGACCATGTAAATTAAAGACATTTTCAGATAAACACAACTAAGACGATTCACTGCTAGTAGGCCCATACTGCAAGATACCAAAGAAGTTCCGCAGCTGCAACAGATTGCCCCAAGAACTGACGAAGACAAACAGAGGAGGATCAGGATCAAAGAAATGGGAAACACTGCACACAACAAATGGATTATAGATAAATTTTCTTCCTCATTTTTTATTTCTTTTTTTGGTACCAGGGATTGAACCCAGGTGCTTAACCACTGAGCCACATCCCCAGCCGTTTGTAATTTTTTATTTTTAAACCAGGTCTCACTATGTTGGTCAGGACCTCACTTAGTTGCTAYAGCTGGCTTTGAACTTGCAATCCTCCTGCCTCAGCCTCCCCAGCCACTGAGATCACAGATATGTGCCACCGCACCCAGCACTTTTCGTCTTCTTAATCTCTTTAAAAGATATATGATAGTTTAAGCACAATTACTACAACACCTAGGTAACTCCTAATGTATACAGATTCATCAGGTAACTAACCGTGTACAAAGACAAAAAAGCAGAAAGGACAGAGGTTATACAGGGAATCATTCCACTGAAAAGTACTTGCATTTTACAGGAAGCTATATGGCAGCACTGTAAGTATGACAAACTGAAGATCCTCAAAGGATGGTGAACAAAATACAGCACGATAGCTCTCTATGACTGCCATAGCAAAGAACCAGCCCAGGTAACAGCAGCTTTCCTTGCCTGTGGAGGTGGGGCTGCAGGATGGGGGCTTCTGCAGCTTCGGCTCTGCCTGAGGATGGCCTTCCTCTGCATGGAGACGCCCTCATTTCTTTCTTGTGACTAAATAGACTGACGAGGTTAGTGCCCCCACATAATCTTAACAACCTTTCCAATGTATACAGAAGGCCCTCCCTGTGGGTTCTGCATCTGTGTATTCAACCAATTTCAGTAAAAAAAAACATTTGAAAAAAATTAACTCTGTACTGAACAAGTGGAGTTTTTTTTACATTGTCATTATTCCCTGAACAAAGCAGTATAACTATTACAACTATTTACACAGCATTTAAATTGTATTAGGTATTATAAGTAATTTAGAAATAATTAAAGTGTATGGGAAGATGTGCATGGGTTATATGCAAATACTACAGCATTTTACATAAGAAACTTGAGCATCTACAGATTTTGGTACCTCTGGGGTTTCCTGGAATCTGTGCCCTACAGACGCCAAGGGAAGACTACACTAAAAATTTTAAAAGACAGGAAAGAGGAAACAGAAACAAATATTAGACGAAACAAACAGAAAACAGGTAGTAAAATGGTAGTGCTAAGTCTATCATACTAATGATTTAATGTAAATAGAGTACTTAAGGCAGAGAATCTTGGACTTGACAAAAAAATAGACTCAACAATATGCTCTCCATAAAGATAATTTAAATATAAAGACACAAAACCAACTAAGTAAATATAGACACTGACTGGGGGCTGGGGATGTGGCTCAAACGGTAGGGCGCTTGCCTGGCATGCGTGCAGCCTGGGTTCAATTCTCAGCACCACATACAAACAAAGATGTTGTCTCCGCCAAAAACTAAAAAAATAAATATTAAAATTCTCTCTCTCTCTTTAAAAAAAATATAGATACTGACTGAAAGCAAAAGGATGAAAGATACACTATGCAAAAATAATAACAAAAAAGCTCAAGTAGAGCTACCAGAGGAAATAAACTTCAATATAAAACAGAGCACAGACAAGAGACCACTCATGGTAATAACAGTTATGAATGTGTGTGCACCTAAAAACAAAGTCTCATGGGACATGAAAAAAAAGCCACAAAACTAGAGAGGGAAATCAAACCCTCCACCATTATGGCTGGGAATCAATACTCATCTTGTAGTAACTGATGGGACAACCAGACAAAAGACATGAATGGCACCACTCTAACCTGACACCCAGAGAGAAGAGGACTCAAGGTGAAAATCATGAGCATGCTCCATGTCCACATGGAACTAAATTAGAAATCAACAACAATAACAAAAACAGAACTTTACCTAAATACTAAGTGACGTAAAAGAAGAAAGCACGGGGAAATTAAAGTGCACCTGGAACAAAATATACTTATTGTAAGACTGGCACTCATGGCAGGTCAAAGGCAGCCACAAACTCTTTCCCCTTCTTAGGGTGGGAACAACGCCCCTACAGGTAGAATCTGTGCCTGCACAACCAGCTTAGTCAGAATGTAGCACAGCTCAAACAATAGTAAAAGTTAGAGATGAAAGACTGTCCTCAACTTGAGAGGTAGAGTTGTTAAAGTTCAGACTGAATATCAGTCTCTGAATAAAAGGATGACAATCATCTCACACATTATGTTATACTAACAAACTATAACTGTGAATTTTAAATGTTAAGAAAAAATATAGGGAAGTAACCTCATGACACTGGGTTTAACAATTCTTTCTTGGATACTATACCAAAAGCATAAGTAACAAAAACCAGTAAGTTGAATTATATAAAATTGAAATCTTTTGTGCATCAAAGGACACTATCAACAGAATGAAAAGATAATCAATGGAACGGGATTCATATATAAGATAGTAACATCCAGAACATGTAAAACAAAATCCTACAACTCAAAAAAACCCAAAACCTTGTGGTTTAGTCAGCTTTTTCACTATTGTAACTAAAAGATCCAACCAGAACAACTTTAGAGGAAGAAGAGTTAATTTAGGGCACAGTTTCAGAGGTCTGAATTCAGAAGATTCCATTCCTCCGGGCTCAAGGTGAGGCTGAACAAAGTGGCAGAGGAATGTGGCAGAGGGAAGCAGTTCACATGATGATAAGTAAGCAGAGAAAGAGATTCCACTTGCCAGATAAAAAATATATACCCCAAAGCCATGTCCCCAATGTCCACCTCCACCAGCCACATCTACCAGCTTCAGTTATCACTCAGTTAATCCCTAACAAGAGACTAATTCACTGATTGGGTTAAGACTCTCACAACCCAATAATTTCTTCTCTAAACCTTCTTGCTTTGGCTCACAAGTGATATTTTGGGGGACACCTCACATCTAAACCAAAGTGAGCAAAGGATTAAATAGTTATTGCTACAAATAATACATACAAATGGTTGATACTGCAGTCATTAGAAAAATACAAATCAAAATCACAATGAAATATCCCTCCATACCCATTAGGTACAAATGATTCAAATCTGTGCATCTCATTCTCTATATATCTTTTAACCAACCCTTGTTCAAATGTGCCCCACTAACCCCTGAACACTGGATAATAAATAAGCATAGTTCCTGAGAGATCAAACCTGTCATTTGAGCACTCATGTCCTTCAGATTTTGCAAAGAGTAATATTTCCACTGCACCAAGATTACTACATTTGTTTGTGAGCAACAAAAGCTCCTCCCCCTATATTGGCCCTATACACATATATTAGCTAACATGAAAAGAAAAAAACAGAGCAGCAAAACTTGACATCAAGACCAGAACTGAGAGGGAAGGAGGAAGCAGTCCTGGAGAAATTCTATTTTGTTGCTTGGGTCACTGGCTGGAAGGTGGCAATTGCTAGCATAAGGGATGAGAGGATATGGATGAGAGGATTAGATTCATGAAGTCTGAGGTGCCTTTGGAATAGCAGCAAAGAAGCATTCAACAGGAAGATGAATCTATAGTCTAACAGTGGAAAAAGGTCCAAGCTAGAAATAGGAATGTCAAATCAAGGGCCATATCAGTCAAAAAACTCAAGAGTAAGAGGAATGGGGCCTCAGATGGAACACTTGAAGGAAAAAAAAAGGCAAAAAAAAAAATCCTGGGAAGAAAAAAATCACAAGAGGTCAAAGAAAATAAAAGGTGGGATTTCTAAAAGATCATGGACAGAGGTCTTAAATATGGCAAAAGATTCAATAGTCAATGGGTCTGACTATAATTTATTTAGGTTACCGGTAAGCGTTTGACAAAATGAACTAAGACTTCATTGATTGGGCTAAAGTACAAATGAGTGGGAATACACACCAGAAAATCCAACTTTGCAGTTAGCTGCTTACTTTACAGCCACATAAGCTGAGAGAGATGTGTAGACAGTTTTTTCATTACATATGGTCAATTCAATCCTCCAGGCCACCCAAAAGCTATCTGGGATCAACTATTTTAGCAACTCCAATAAAATCTCATTAAGGTAGCTAAATGTGACCAATGAAGACAGCGTTTCCACCTTGGGTTCAGCAAGTCTTCATATCCCAGAAGTTAGCATGCTCGCCTTGTGGGTTTGTTGAATTATGTAAAAATTATGCCTCCCTTTTTTTTGCCACAACATCAGAAAGACCAGAGACATATATGCACTCAACTTAGATGATTCTAAAGTCTTATAATCTGCTAAAACTACATGCCAACTTCATCTTATTTGTATGCATTTCCTAGAGGCTGAATCTTACTTTTCCACTTTTCCACTTAATTCTCAGACCCCATAAAGGTCATTAAATAAAATGTAAAACAGAATGGAGAAACAACTCACCAGAGATGTATCCATTTTTGTTTGCTCTTGGAAATGCACAGAGGGCTCTGGAAGCATAGCTAGGAAAGGTGGTGAATGGAGTGGAGTCATGGAGAATTGGTATGGCTCAGATTCTCCTGCTCAACACACTATAGAGAAGCTGAAACAGAAATTTTAAAAAGCCTCTATATGGAAGAGAACCCTCTATGTTTCAGTATGGACACCAAAGTTCCCACTGAAGACATACCCACAATCCCACTAATTGGTAAAGATTAGAAATACAATTAATTCATTTTGAGTTACTTAAAACAACTATTACCTACAGATTTAGCAACAAATTAACATTTCCCAAAGAAATAAAAACAAAAACTGTTACAGATATATACTTCACAAGTGAATTCTTTTACTACTGATGCAGGATACCGCAGAGGACTCTATGTAAGCTTTTCCACCACACCCCTTGCTTTTGCATACTTAAGTTTCATGAAAAGTATGCATGTGCCGCCCATGATGGCACATGCCTGTGATCCCAGCAGCTTGGGAGGCTGAGGCAGGGGGATTGCAAATTCAAAACCAGCCTCAGCAAAAAGCAAGGCACTGGGGCTGGGGTTGTAGYTCAAGTGGTAGAGTGAGCACCACATAAAAATAAAATAAAGATATTGTATCCACCTAAAACTAAAAAATTAATTTTTTTTAAAGAGAGAGGGGGGGACAGAGACAGACAGAGAGAGAGAGAGAGAGAGAGAGAGAGAGAGAGAGAGAATTTTAACATTTTTTATTTTATTTTTTCTTAGTTCTCGGCGGACACAACATCTTTGTTGGTATGTGGTGCTGCTGAGGATCGAACCCGGGCCGCACGCATGCCAGGCAAGCGCGCTACCGCTTGAGCCACATCCCCAGCCCCAGAAAATTAATATTTTTTAAAAGTAAGGCACTAAGGAACTGAGACCCTGTCTCAGTTGGGGATGTGGCTCAATGGTTGAGTGTTCCTGAGTTCAATCCCTGGTACCAAAAAAAAAAAAAAAGTATGAATGTTGCAACCCATCATTTTGGACCCATAGTTATATAGGAAAAATATACATAATATACACTTCTTATAACACTGTTCCAGTAGTGGTTCACAACAAGCCATCTCTCTGTATACAAGCACTCATACAGTACCACAAACCTGGACTCTGCTATTTATGTTACTGCCTTGGCCAATGAGACAACAGGAAATGTCACACACATTTGAAAAGCACTTGCCCACTGGTGCTGGTCTCTTCGGACAAAGTCATGCTGTGAAGAAACCTGGGGCTACATTGCTCTAGCCAAGAGCTAGCGCAAATTACTAGCCATGCAAGTGTTATGGCAAGCAGCCTCAGTTGAGGCACCCTATGTCCAAAGCCTCAAGTGTGATCCAGACAACACTAGCAAAAAATTTCCAGCTGAATTCCTTCCAAAATGTGGAGCCACAGAACCTCAAATAAATGAGTGCATATTTTTCTCAGTATGTGTCAGTTGGTTAGGGTTAGCAAATGCTTATATACTAATCATCCAGAATGCAATTTTTTAAAAATATTTTTAGCTGTGGATGAACACAATTTACCTATTTTTATGTGGTGCTGAGGATCAAACCTAGTGCCCCACACATGCTAGGCAAGCACTCTGCCACTGAGCCACAACCACCCAGCCCAAGAACTCAATGTTTTTGTTTTGGGTTTTTTTTGGGGGGGTGGTACTTTGGACTGAATTCAGGGGCACTCGACCACTGAGCCACATCCCCAGACCTATTTTGTATTTTATTTACAGACAGGGTCTCACTGAGTTGCTTAGCAACTCGTTTTTGCTGAGGCTGGCTTTGAACTCATGCTTTCTGACTCAGCCTCCTGAGCCACTGGGATTACAGGCATGTGCCACCAAGCTGGACAAGAACTCAGTGTATTTTAAGGGACAGTCTTAAAATACAATCAAGTTAGCTGCATGGCCACATGGACAAGTACTGAAAATCACAAGCAATGTCAACTGCATGGACTTCAATAAGAATACTGGTGTAAGTGGAGGCCACCTAAATCATTAAAAAGAAAACATTTCCAGATCAATAGACTGTTTTAAGTTTTGCTGCATCATAAAAGGTATGTTTACTTCAAAAAGATAGTTTGTTACATGTTGAGTATCCCTTATTCCAAATGCTGAAGACCAGAATTATTTCAAATTTCAGAGTTTTCTGGATTTTGGAATATCTGCATAGATTTTTTTTAAGTTATAGGTGGACAAAATACCTTTATTTTATTTATATGTGGTGCTGAGGATCGAACCCAGGGCCTCACAAGTGCTAGGTGAGCGCTCTACTGCTGAGCCACAACCCCAGCTCTCTGCATAGATTTTAATGGTTATATACCTAGTCCAAAATAGTTTCAAATTTCATATTTTTGGGTTAAGGATGCCTAATCTATACTTAAAAGAACACACTGTGCCATATTTTATTTACATTTATGAAATTAGTTTGGAGAAGTGTGATCCAGCATAATTTTTTCCATTTTAATAACAGGCTCATTTTATTACCAAATTTATTATTTTTAAAAATAGACAAATTACATTAGGTAAGAAATACTTGTGTTATCAACATTTTAAGGTGACAATCCATAAGAAGTACTAGGGATAAAAAAAAGAGACGTGTTTAAGGCAATGTGTTTTAAAGTACAGTTTATGCTACATGGATAGTTTCCAAACAAACAAACAAAATCTCCAACAGTGAAAATAATACTAGTTGTTTTGATTAAATTTGTAGCAAAATTAATAATATTAGCTAAAAAGTCAGGATGCCTAACATTTACGTGACTCTCATGTGATCCTGTGTGAGGCACATCATCTTAGAACCAATTACTTCATCTTTCATATAAGACAGAAGGACCCTGGCAAGCCCTTCCTGAGCTACCAGCGAGAACCATCAGGACAGAGGGAGCACCTGCACATCTCTAGACAAGCCAAATTTGATGAGACTGGCTTTGAAAGAGCTCAGATTCTGGAAACAATGGGGGCACGGATTGGAGGAACTAGAATGTGGTTAGAGAGCACTGTAGCCAGATCCTCTCTGGTGCAACAGGATATCCCTCTACTCCAGACCACAATCCTATGCCTCCTCCAATAAGTAACATTTGCTAGGCCATGACTTATCCTTCAGCCCAGTTCATCTCTCTCTCCTGAAAGTTGGTCCATACCTTCCCAACAGCACCTTGTGGGTGAGAGCTTCAGATGAGGTAGCACTACCCAAACCTTGCGCACTCTGGGCAGGAGGACCAACTGCTTAGGTCATGCAAGGCTAGTATCCTCCCCTTCCTGGGACTCCTCTTATCTTAAGTGCTAGTGAGAGAATTCAGACCTGAGGGGTGCTCTTTCAGGAGGGATTCCGATCCATAGGGCGTCCTCCTTCAAGCTTTATCACACCTACTTAATTCTTAAAAACATAGGACCACCCCAATCTCCTGCGTATAATCTTCTGTAGACTCAAACCAAGAGCCCTAGGCGGGCTACACGGTGGCAGGGGCGGGGGATACAACTGCCACATCGCAGGATTGTCCACGTACACTTCACCACCCTCTGGGAACTGGGGGGTAGTTCACCAGGGTCGCTGCCAGCCTCATCTCACAGACCGGTAAACTGAAGGTCGCTCCGTGGCACAGCGGTCTGCACAGCTCCACCAGGCCCGCTCGCTGGGCCAGCTTCCTATACAGAAGGCATACAGGGCCTCCGGCCGCTTGGACTCCGACCAGGCTGTCACGACAGCCCACCCAAGGGCCGCGGCCCCGCGCCCGCCCCGAGGAACTCACGGAGCGTCGCCTCGGGGAGCCCTACCGCGGCTCGCACCTGCACTTCGGTGCCCCGCCTGCGACCCATTCACGGTTCGGATCCCAGAGCCCGCCGAGGCCAGTGTGCCTCTGCCCGCAACGCACCAACCTTCTGGCTGGCCGCGTCGGAGGGCCGCAGGGACCGGAACTTCCGGGCGGGAAACTCCGGGAGTGGGCGGGGCACCGCACGCGCTGGAGGAAACTGGAACGCGCTCCCGGGTCTCGCGTGGGCGGCCTCTCGCGATAGGAGACACTTCCCACAAGCCTCTGCGCCGTGCGCTGGTGCCACGGGAAGAAACTGTTCGCGGACTGCGGCGGTACCCGAGGTGGCCGGTGTCCACACCCAGAGGTCTGTGGCTGTGAAGGGCGTGGTCGTTGTCTGGTGCGCCCTGAAACACCGCAGTTACGAATCATAACGGCCCCTCTGGACACCTCTTCGAGGCATGTGTTTTCTGCCACTAGCCTGGCTGTGTCCGCGGACCGTGTTCCACGGGCGGACATCCTGCTCTAGCAGGTCACGGAGTCGATGCTCCGGAGCCTCTTGCAGGTTGCATTTCCGAAGTCTGCTAATTGTTTGCCCAGGAATTGCCAATTTCGGGCCAGCCATCTATCAGATCTCTAGTTTGTGAAATGGACTTGAACTTTGTCTTTCGCTTCTGGATTTCTGACACGCACTGGAGTTTCTGGATCTGGGCCACCACCATGGCTCCTCAAGCAGGACATGCTGCTTGAGGGTCACAGTTGGTGTGTACTTGAGAGGAGGAGAAGGGAGTTAGGGGTGGGGTCGATGGCGCTGTGAGGCTGGCGCCCTTGCCCAAGACTCACCACTGTCTTCCTCTGTTGGAATTATCTAGTCCTATGCTACAACCCCCAGTGATTGTAGTCTACAGATCCAGAAGCTAAGCCTTGATCTTCCCAGAGCCCGCATCCCTCAAACATTGGAATCCCTGTCTCCCTCAGAGCCCTGGATCCCAGGCTTCTCTCTTGAACACCGTCGGTACACACGACGTTGGTGCCTGATATAAAGTCCTGTTGTATGTGGGTTGATAGTCCCTCTCTTTATGTACCTCAGTCTTTTCTCCCAGAATGGGAAGACTAAGGCACATTTCCTTAGCTCCCACCTTAAACCCACCTCTAATGTAATCCATTTCTTTCCCCTATAATGGCACATTACTCAGAGCCAAGGAGAGAATCCAGGACCAGCCCACCACATTTCCAACACTAACTGTGTTGTATTGTTTCAGTGTTCAAGTTCACATTTTTTTGTTGAATTTATTCCTAATTATTTTTTATATTACCGTAATATAAATAGAATTGATCCCTTAATTTCATTTTTTGATTGTTCATTGCCCATGATAGAAGTACAACCAATTTTTTATATGGATCCTGTATCTTGTTACTTCACTGAACCTGTTTATTCTAATAATTTTTAGTGAGCTCTGAATGATTTTTTTGGGGGGAGGGTACCAGGAATTGAACTCAGAGGTGCTTCACCACTGAGCCACATCCCTACCCCGTTTTATTTTTTATTATTTTGAGACAGAATCTTGGTAAGCTGCTTAAGGCTTTGCTTAGTTACTGAGGCTGGCTTTGAACTTCTGATCCTCCTGCCTTAGCCCCTAGAGCTGCTGGGGATTACAGGCAAGCATCGCTGCCCATATTATTAATACCAGTGATGAGAATCGGCTGAGTCCTATTTCCCAGAAGCAGGCCAGAGGACCCCCCCCCCCCCCGAAGATCCCTGCAACAACTAAGCTAAACAGAATTTTTGAGGGTCTCTGGAGCCTTCACAGAGGTGTTTGCATCTCAAAGGACTATAGTCAGGTCCTGCAGAGCTAGCTGGTAGGAAGACTGGGGAGAGGGACTCTCCCTTTCCCAGATACAGATTTTTAATAGTGTCCTTGGCCTGAAATGGGTCCCTGGAACAGTGAAAAAGCTGCTTTTATGTGAACTTCTACAGATTGTGAGCCTCTGAGCCCCTTCCCTTACACACTGGGTATATAAAGTTCTAAAACTTTCTAAACTCAGGATTTCAGAGGGGTGATTTGGTAGAGGCAAAAAGCCTCCCTTTGGGGCTAGGGCTGTAGCTCAGTTGGTAGAGTGCTTGGCTTGCATGCACTTAGACCTGGATTTGATTCCCCAGCGTGCATGTGTACACACACACACACACACACACACACACACACACACACACCACCTTTGAATCTGACTGCAGCCAATAAACCTGCTACCTGCTATTTCTTGGTGTCCTTCCTTGTTTGTCCTACTTCATCCCCAGATTTGAAGAGTGAACACAGGAGAAATACCAAGGCAACCATAGAAAAAAAGTTTTATTTAAAGGATAGAATAGAATAGAGATAGTGTAACAGGAGTCCACTTAATGCTTTGAATACAACTCTTGCTGCTCTTGACACTGCAACTTATTTTTAAAATGGTCTTGTTTTTTCCTCTTCCTCTCTCCTGGCTTCTCCCTAATCTTTCTCCCATCCTAATCTCAGGGAAAATATGTTTACCTTTCTTCTCCATCCTAGGCAGAGTTATTGGTCCCTGAGTACACACCCACCATAGGAAAGAAGTAATCCAAACTTTGGGGATGGTACYAGAAGATCTCAGAAACTCCTCAAAATTAACAAGTGAATTACAGCTCCAACAGAGAACACATGGAATATAGCCTTTGAGTCACCTACAACCAAAAGTTCCCTGTTCCTGCTGATGGGCAGAATCACAGCCTCTGGGACAGGACTCCTTGGTGTTTCTCCTTTGCTAGCAAAGCAATAAACCTTTTTCCTTTTTCTCAAAACTGTGTCTTTGTTATTGGATTGGCATCAAGGACAAGGACTGAGCTTTCTTTCTTTTTTTTTTTTTTTTAAAGAGAGAGTGAGAGAGGAGAGAGAGAGAGAGAGAGAGAGAGAGAGAGAGAAAAATTTTTAATATTTATTTTTTAGTTCTCGGCGGACACAACATCTTTGTTGGTATGTGGTGCTGAGGATCGAACCCGGGTCGCAGGCATGCAAGGCGAGCGCGCTACCGCTTGAGCCACATCCCCAGCCCCAAGGACTGAGCTTTCAGCAAAACTGCCAGGTGTTTAAGACCAAGTTGGTCAAACTGACTCGTTGTTTCTATCTACTAACAGTCAGCTGAGATTCCTCAGAGATCATCACCCTTGTGGACATGTGCAAAGCATCCTGGCTCCTTTAACTTTTCTTTACCAGTGGTGCCGCTTGCCAGGATGGGTTGGGGTCCTATATGGAAATTTAAAAGGAAAAACTTTTTTTTTAATGTAATGTAAAATGTACACTTGTGTCAGGCCTACCAAAAGTAAGTAAAGCTGAAGGCTACAAAGGAAGGGTTCTTGAGTGAGAGTGCCTAATAATAATGATCACAAGAGTCACAAATTTGTCCTGAGTTAATTTGAGCCTGATTTCATAGACTTACAAATTTCCTAATCTCCCACATTGATGAACTTGGTCTGTTTTTTATTGATAAGATTATGAGTTCCTGTCCTTATGGTTTTCAGAGACTGGCTGAAATACTGTGGTTTTTTTTTTTTTTTTTTTTTTTTTTTTTTTTTTTTTTGTGTGTGTGTGCTAATTATTTGCAAAAAAAAAAAAAAAAAAAAGTAATGCTTTGCTGTCTTTATTGTTGTCTTAGGATGATCCCTGCCCTATGAATGCCTTGTCCAGTCACCTGCCATCTTCCACTGTGTACCTCAGGACTGCTCTGATGATGAATGCCCTTAACTGTCCACATCCCACCTGATAGAGAACAAGAACTTTGGGTTACTTCCCCCAACTTTGCTCCTTTTCAGCAGGAAGCAGTTTGGAGATGTTATCGCCCATTTTTCCATATAAGTAGACTGCAGAAAGCTGGGCATGGTGGCACATGCCTATGTAATCCTAACAGTTCAGGAGGTTGAGACAGCGGGATCTTGAGTTCAAAGCCAGCCTCAGCAACTTGGTGACCCCTTGTCTCTAATAAAACATAAAAAAGGACTGGGGATGTGGCCTGGTGATTAAGTGCCCCTGGGTTCAATCCCTGGTATGAAAAAAGAAATTTAATATAGAAATTGACAGTGGCAACACTTCTCTGAGGAGAAGGGGCCCCAGAACTGGGTGTCTGAGGAAGTGGGGGTGTCCTTCTCCTTTTATGCATTTTAGATTTCCTTTGTTCTCATGCTATCCCCCATCCTGCCTAGATGGCCCAAAAAGTGGAGTGGAAATGATCCACGGGTGGGGAAGGAGCCTTACAGGGGTACAGGCAGGAAGGAAGCAGCCCAGGGGCCATTAATTAACAACTCTTTGTAGGGAGGAACAATTCTCTGGAAACAGGTAACCCTGGCAACAGGTAACCCTGGCAACAGGTGGGGGAAAAGGAAGTAATTTAGAGGTATTAATATTTCATTTCCTTTTGRGGCTGGGTTGTAGCTTAGTGGTAAAATGCCTGCCTAAGGCACTATGTTCATCCCTGGCACCACATAAAAATAAACAAATAAAATAAATAAAGGTATTGTGTCCATCTACAACCAAAAAAATATTTCATTCCTTTTTAATCAGTTTCCATCTTCCCAGCCCAATCATTCATTACCTACACTGACTATCCTTTCTGCCACCCCTCACCTACCAAGATCATATGATCTTTAAAGATAATTACGCTTGTTCCTTTCAATATAAATACTTTTACTTCTGTTGCCAGAATGCCCTTGCTAGCACCCCCAGTGCGATGATGAATAAAAGTGGTGAGAGTGGATTCATTACCTTGTTCCTGGCCTTAGGACAAAAGAGTATATGCTTCCTTCACTAAGCATGATGTAGTGTTTTATATTTCCTTTATCTGTTTTAGGATGATCATTTCTCTTCCTACTTTGTAAAATTTTGTTAAACTTGTTTTCTGCATCTAGAGATGATCATGTGGTTTCACTAATTTTTTTGACATGGTTTGTATTATAATTTATTTGACTATTAAACCAACCTAGCATTCCTGGAATGAATCCCATATTATTCACTTCATATGTTGCTGGTCTATTGTATTTGTTGAAGGTTTTTGCATCAATATTTCCTTTGCCTGCCTTCACCTGATCCAGGTGAAGCAGTAGGGTATGACTGACGCATGTGCTGTCTCCCTGTGGAGGCATGAGTGGTTCTCCACCCTCACTAAGAAGCTCTTCCTCCACAGCCAGGAGGCAGCAGCACCACTGTAAGACTGGCTATTTTTTCTTGGCCCTTTTACTTCCTTAAATTTAGTATACAAGTTTAGGTTTTAAACATCCAGCAAACCAGTTTCACCAGTATTAAGGTAGGAGTACTGGGTTTTAACTTTAGTGTTTATAACTTTATAGTGATTTACCCTTTCATTTATCTGGGGGTCAGTAAAAGTAATAAAGTTAGAATTACATTCTGTCTGTTCTGTAGGTAATGTCCTATCATCTCAAATTAACCCAGGTCGTTATATTAGAAATTGTACTTTTGCAAGGCACTAACAGACGATAGTTATAAAAAATACAAGGAAAATATAAAATAAAATTAACAAGAGTAAAACATATTGAGTTTGTATAATAACTATGAACATAATAGCTAAAGGAAATATGGCTGCAGATGTAGCCCTGCAAAGCCTGCTTTACAGGGTTTTTCAATTGCCACATTCCTATGGGAAAATTATTTTCTGTCTTCTGAACTCCCAATGGAAGAGGCTCAACAGGCTGTAGGGATACCAAGTAGAGCATAGAGAATGGTGGGTTTCTCCTAAGGACACCCTATTACTCCCTGAAGCATCCCAGTGGAAGATTCTAAAGTTGATCACTTCTACTATTTGGAAAGAGATAACACTCTTACCCAAAAACAGAAAATATTTTCAGAAAAGGGCTTATTGGACACAGTCCAACAGATCATCCAAAGCCATAAAAGCTGCCTTATGTTTTTTGCCTTTCCTTGGGCTCTTACAGCCCTGGTGCTTATTCTTCTTTTTGGACCTTACATTATCAGTTTGCTTATTCACTTTGTTTCCTTTCGTGTAAAGGCAATAAAATGGAGTCCCAATGGCCATCCCTCCAGACTTCTACCATGGATCCATCAACAGACCCTCTGATATATACCATCAGTCTTGGCCTCTGGATTGGCCTGCTGCTTCCCACTTGTCCTAGAACTTCCTTAGAAGGATATCCCTGTTACTCTGATGATGCCCCTTGTCAGCCTGAAATAAGTAGTCACTGCCCCAACTCCCAACAGTAGCTGGGGTATCCTCTGAGAGAGGGGATTAGGGTCAATGTAGAAGAGCTTAGGTAGCCAGGGTAAGGTGATGAGTGAGGAGGTCAAGGGCAGGGCCAGAACAAAGGAGCAAGGAGAGGGTCTTCTAATGAGGTCAATTTCCTGTTTGACAAAAGGCTCCTGGACACAAGTGGGGGACCCAATCAGATAGACACTTCTATACTTGAGCTCCTAACTAGAGGATCCAATACAAAAACAACAGATGTGGGCTGGGGATGTGGCTCAAGCGGTAGCGCGCTCGCCTGGCATGCGTGCGGCCCGGGTTCGATCCTCAGCAGCACCACATACCAACAAAGATGTTGTGTCCGCCGAGAACTAAAAAATAAATATTAAAAATTCTCAAAAAAAAAAAAACAGATGTGTGGGCAGAGGGGGGTACCAATCAATAATAGTAACAAGAATAAATGGGAAGAAAAATTAAAAAGAAATAAATTAAAAGGTACAAAGTTTCAGTTATGCTAGGTGAGTTCTGTGGTCTACTACTATATAGCATAGTGCCTATGGCAATATTTCATATTTAAAATGCACTGAATGAGTAGATCTTAGAGCCAGGCGTGGTAGCGCAGTCCTGTAATCCCAATGGCTTGGGAGGCTGAGGGAGGAGGATCAGGAGTTCAAAGCCAGCCTCAGCAACTATAAGGCACTAAGCAACTGAGGGCTGGGGATGTGGCTCAGTGGTCGAGTGCTCCTGAGTTCAAATCCAAGTAACACCCCCCCCCAAAAAAAGTAGATCTTACAATGCGTTTTTTTTTTTTTTTTCACAAAAATGAAAAGGAAAAAGAAGAAAAAGAAAAAAAGCCATAAAGCTTGGAGGAGGAATTTACTGCCTTGATGGTGGTGATGGTTTCTTAGTGTATCTTACCCCAAATTCACTGAGTTGTAAACATTATGTACAAAAACAAATAAAATACAGGACTTGCTCTACTGCCTACCAGTGCCTTCAGTCCACGTAGAACTACACAAACTCAGCTGCCATCACAGTGGTGGTCACCACCAACACGCCCGGCTGGATCCACCTGGGGAGAAGTAGAAGGCTACTTGCAGCGCTCATGGCCTAGGGCGACATACCTGTCGCAGGATCGTCGCCTTTAATGCCATGACACACTTTAAGCTGGCCTCGGGCCTGGTGTCCCGGAGCAGAACCACAGAAGAGGTTTTGTTCCATGTGACTTGTGGAGGGAAGGCTCTCAGAGCCTGAAGAAAGCAAGGCACCACCTAGGCGTGGGCGGCAGGTGCGTAGTCGCCTATGGAGACTGGCTTCGACCTAATTTCAGGGTGCCATGGAGCTCGATGGCCTCAGCAGACTCCCTCTGAGGCGAAATGCCGGGCCTTCATCTGCCAGCCTCAGCCAGCACTGTCGCCAGATGCGGGGGCCTGCAGCTTCAGGGTAATCTTGCCCAAGAAACTCAGGACTGCGTTTCTTGGCTCCTCTCTGAGTTGCGGACCACACGCAGCACGAAGCGAGGAATGCGAGGGCAAAAAAAGCGCAGGCCGAGCAGTCACCTGTCAGCCTTTGGGGAGGCCTTCGCCATGCAGCACACACGCGGCTAAAGGGCGTTGCCAGAGGCCGGGGATTATCGGGGGCGGGACTCCGGGAGTTGCCAGAGGCGGGGACTGGGAACTCTGCCGCGTAGGGAGGGACTCGTGGGGCGTTACCAGGGGGTGGGGACTTGGGGGCGTTACCAGGGACCTCGGACTCGCGGGCGTTAGCGGAGGGCGTGGTGCTTGGGGCGCGTTGCCGGGGGCGGGGATTCGCCGGGGCGTGACGGGGGGGAACTCTAGGCGTTGCCAGAGGCGGGGACTGGGAGCTTTGCCGGATGGGCGGGGACTCGTGGGACGTTACCGGGGACCTCGGACTCGGGGGCGTTAGCGGAGGGTGTGGTGCTTGTGGGGGCATTGCCAGGGGGCGGGGCTGGTGCGTTCCCAGGGACCGGGACCCGCTGGGACTAGGGAGGACGTTGCCAGAGGACAATGACTTGGGGGCCGGTGCTGAGGGCGGAGACCCGTGGGAAAAGCGGCCCCAGAACTCTCGGCAGCCCCGCCCCTTAGCGTACTTCCGGCGCGCGGGCGGAGGTGACGCCAAGCTGGGGCGACGCCTGTCAGTCAGGTCTGCTGGTTCCTGCTCAGAAGCCGCTAGCGGACCCGGAGCGGCGGTCGCTGGGCAAGACTTCGGTGGAGTCCCGCCCGTTCCCTAGCCCGACGGGTGGACACGATGCGGTTGGGCTCCGGGGCCTTCGCTGCCAGCTGCGTAGCCATTGAAGTGCTTGGGGTCGCGATCTTCCTGCGGGGATTCTTCCCGGCTCCCGTTCGTTCCTCTTCCAGGACCGAGCACCGAGCAGAGCCCCCGGCGCCCGAGCCTGCTGCTGGTACGGATCCCTTCGCCAGTGTCCCCCGGCCCTGCCTCCTGCAGAGGACGCTCCCCCTGAGCCCGACGTTTTCCGGGGAGGGGCTTCTCTTCCCCTGTGGTCCCCAGCCCGAGAAACCGCTTTTACCGCCTAGGTGCCTTTTTCAGTGCCCTACAACTTTGGCACCCACTGCCACCGACCCTTCCGCCACTTTCCTTGGATTACCACAGTCAGCTCCGCGTACCCAGGCTCCATCCCTCCYTCTGCCCATCCAGAGAGCACCCCCCCCCAACTTTTCCGAATAGGTCACATTGCTGCTGATCCCTCACGTTTTCTGTTTTATCCCAAGCCTGGCCCCCCTTGTTTTTAGACCACGGTAGTTAAGGCCTTTCTGCATCAGGCCCCTTCCTGTCCCTCACCTACACAGCAGTACCCACTAGGTAAAAGCTCCCTGGTTCTGGACCAGGTCCACAGAATACCAGCCACCGGCCATGTAAATGCAGTTTGCAAGGCCACCCATCGTTAGGTCAAGGTCAGTGTTCCTGAATGGGACACTCAGGGACTTTCATGTAAGGACTTACCCCTGCCCCAGTTATTCCTTGCCATACTAAGGGCAATCCACTGCTTATTTTTGGGGCTCCCTGTGCTTACTCACTATCAACACCTTCTTCTCTCCAGCACTGCCTACCAACAACAGCCCTTCTATTGGGTTGCCATACACAAATAGGACAGGTTGTATGCTGGAGAAGCAGACAGAAGCAAGGTTTTGAAGGCGCTTAAATGGTAAGTTTAAATTGTAATTTCCCTTTTTTCTTTCAAACACTTTTAGGAGCCCGTTCCAACTGGACCAAGCTACCACCTCCTCTCTTCAATAAAGTTGTCATTGTGCTGATAGATGCCTTGAGAGATGATTTTGTGTTTGGGTCAAAGGGTGTGAAGTATATGCCCTACACAAGTTATCTTGTGGAAAAAGGAGCATCTCACAGTTTTGTGGCTGAAGCAAAGCCACCCACAGTGACTATGCCTCGAATCAAGGTAAGCTTGACTTGATTTTTTTATAAATCATGGTTTGGCTCTTTTGAAGGCTTACAGGGATTCTGTAGTCCTCTGTTTGGAGTCCCAGTTTCCATTAAGTGAAAATTAGTTTGGTGCTGTCAGTTTTACCGGGGTGATAGAACATTAACGATGCTTCACAGTCAGGGTGGAGCTGAGACCTGTGATTTGTGTCCCTTGTCAAGTAGCCAGAGCTCAGGCATCATGGGAAGTAAAAAGGATTTAAATCCAGATCAACCAGGCCAGCCCAAGAGACATCCTTCTCTGTAGCCTACTCTCTTTAATCATCAATGGGTTAGTTACAACCCTGCAAGGAGAGTTTTGAGTTGCCAAGTCTAATCTTGACTTTATGCATAAGAAAGCAAACTCAGATAATTATTTGACTTGCCCAAAATTGCAGAATACATAAGATCAAACTGTATCATCTGCTCTCACAATTCTACTACATAAACCCATTCAGCTTGGTAAGAGTGGTTTTCAAGTACCTAGTGCTTTACCCAAGAATCATGGATAAATAAAAACATAAAACTCTATTGATTGTCTCAGGAAATTTTTTTTAATAATTATTTTTTTAAGAGAGAGAGAGAGAGAATTTTAATATTTACTTTTTAGTTTTTGGCGGACGGACACAACATCTTTGTTTTGTATGTGGTGCTGAGGATCGAACCCGGGCCGCACGCATGCCAGGCGAGCGTGCTACTGCTTGAGCCACATCCCCAGCCCAAGGAAATTTTATCTATAGATTATCATATGTTGATATTGTGATGGGGATACGTTGGGGGTGGGTTAGTATCTCTGCTTTCCTGGGGCTTTTAGTCTCTGGAGAGATACATAGACATTCTATTCAACAAATAAGCATAAAATAAATGTGCAGTTATAAAGTGTTAAAGTGTGATGAGCACATGATGGAAAAGAATAGAATGTGATACCCAATGTGGGTGTGGGGCTTGTATGAGGAAATGACATTCAGAGACTGGTAGAATGAGTATGGGAGTGGGGGCAGAAGAAACTGAGGCATTGAGTGTGGCTGTACTGCATGCTGTGTGGTATAAAATCTGTGTCTGATTGATAATGTGAGTTCGAAGACTGGATCAGAATGAGCTGCTACTTGATTTAAGACTTGGAGGCAGTATTTGTGGGTGTTCAGTAAATCTGTCCACTGGATGGAAAAAGAAAATGTTTAGGACTGAAGGCAGGTAAGTGCTGTATCATTCCATGACTCTGTGAGTTTCCCATGCTGTCTGCCAACTTGGGATGTGGTATGTCTTTTACTCAGTGATACTGAGCAGCTGCTACACACCTCATCATGTTCTAGACTAGAAGGATTCATTGGAGAACAAGACAGCAACAGTCTCTGAACTTACTTTCTAATGGGAAAGACAGAAAATATAAGTATGTGAAAGGAATTGAAAAGGGGGACAGTGATGGAGTGATGGGTGAGGGAGGGCATCTGCATCACCATGCTCAGGAGCAGTCTCCCAGAAGCTGCTCTTCTGTTGAAAGCAGAAAGTACTGTCAAAGTTAAAAGAAAGGTGTCAGGTTCCTGTTCACCAGGGACACTGATGTCTTTATTTCAGAGATTAAGCCCTGTCAGAACTGTGGAAGGAACTTTTTCTCCTTTATTGTTTTAATAAAAATGTTATTGAGACTCCAGTTTGAGAAAATGTGTAAGTACTCTGCAAGCTTTGGGTTCTGTCCAGACCAGCATGTTGGCTTCCCCTCAAATGAGCCCCATGAGTTGGTCCTGTGAGAAAGGTACTGTACTCAGCTCCATTTCCAGAGGAGGGAGTAGAGACTCATGGAGGTAAAATCACAGCATCAGAACTGAGCATGGCCCTATTTGTCTGATTCTAGAGCCTCTGGTGTCCTACAACTGTACTGAAAAATAGAATGACAAAGTAAGTCCTCTTTAAAGCGTGTTTGCATAGCTTTCCCTAGTTCTGAGAAGTCAAGAGTCCACTCCTCCTAAAGCCACAGCAACACCATTAATGACAGATGGATGTCTCCTTCAGATTTCTTGGGGCTGCAACTGCAACCCAGCTGCCAGCTGCATTCTCCACAGCCAAGGGATGACCAAGTAGAACCAGCTATCCTTAATCAGTGGGAACTCAAACTAGAGTGAGAGCAACGAACGGCTTTGTAAAAGCCACAAAGGGAGGGCGAGAGGATTTGACTGTATGAAAGCAGGACACTTTTTATGTGGCAAAAAAGTTTGCTAACAGATGATAAACTGAAAAAATTATTTACAGTAGACAAAACAAATAAGGTGGTTAGTCCATGATATGTAAGGTGGGATCAGATCCAGGATGGACAATCCAGGGGAAACCTGGGAAGGACATAAAGAAATCTATGAGGGAAGAATGTGAAGTGGTCAGTAAACATAGAAAATTCTCAACCTTACTAGTAATCAGAGCAAGGCAAATTAAAAACAATCCATAACACCAGGTCTGTCTGTCACATTGTAAAAATTAAAAGATTGGTAGTGTCTGTTCCTCACAAGGAATGAGGTGAACATATGCTATGAGGTATTGTGGGTGTGGGTGGGTGTCCCTAGCTTGGGCCATCATTTCCTCTGTTAGCACTGTGGTCCATCTGCCATGGTTTCCAGCCAGGACAACAAACGTTTCCCCCCACCTCCTTCTGCCCATAGTATGGCTCAGTCAGATCACACTTCTGCCATTCTTAAAACCTTCTAGTGGCTTAGCCTCTGTCCTCTTTGAGCTCCAACTTTCAAACTGTTTAAATAAAGTGTGTTTAAATAAAGTGGTATATTTCCTGGGGAAAGAGGTTGGTGATATGTTTCTAGAATTTGAGATTGTTTGCATATAGGAAAGAATCTGAAATGGCACTCACCTCAAGTCCCTGGTTGCCTATAAGAGTAGGATTTGGGGATGGAATTTGCATTCAGAGTTTAAATGAGCTGAGATGATTTTCATACAGTGCCATACACATATTTTTGTATATACAGTATGATGAGATTTAGCAGATAACGTATATCCAGTCAACCCTACTTCAAATCTGAATTCTGACCCCCATGCTGGGAGCAGTAGTGGTAGTTGTTGCTCTTATTCTGTACGAATTTGTTTGAGCTAGTCTGTACAGTCTTTCTCCCCCAGAGTATGCAGCAAATGATGTCTCTGCTTAATTGTGGTTAGGGTTTTGTTTGTTTTGTTATTTTTTATCATTTTTTTCCAAGCACATCATGCAGTATGGTGTCCACCCTCTTTGTAGGTTGGAACTCACAGGCACTGTTCAGTCAAGCCTGCTCTGTCACTGTTTTTCTAAGTAGGGCTCCCTGCTCAGGGAGAAGGAACAGGTGACTGGGGTTCTTGCTACCACTCTGGATTCCCAGAAATATGTGGAGCTTAAAAATGTCAGCTATAACTGTCTCTTGCTCTAGATCCCCATTTTAAATATTTGGCTGGCCTTTTGCTTGTGTCGTTGGCCTTCCCTGTTGTTTGCACAACTTCTTGGGAATGGGGCTTTTCTACAGTCACATTAGGTCAGGTTCTTCATGGTTGCCATGTCACAGAACTGGGAGGGGAGGAGGCAGGAGCAGCCCTATGAGAAACAACAGGTACAGTAGTTTTTCTTGAATACATGCTTCTCGGTTGGTTGTACAGTTCTGGTGAATTTCAAACTTCTTGAATGGTTGTTTTTGATATTTTTGCCTGTTTTCCATCACTCTTGGGGGAGAGTATTTGCTCAGCCCCCTGGCATTCCAGATGTCTGGTTAATTCACATTTCTCTTTGGCAAGAGGTGTGGTTTAGTAGTAGGGCTCTAGCCCAGCATGTGTGAAGCTCCCAGCTTGATCTCCATTGACACGCATGCACACACATTCACATCTATTTGCTATTGAAGAAGTCTTGGCAGAATTCCTACACTTGTTGGAATTGTCCATTTTCCTATTTTCTGTGGCACAGGTCCCTGGGTGATGATGTTAAGGGTGGTTGTGTAATTCCAAACCATGAGATCTATCACTGTGGCCTCAAGTTCTATGCTAAAAATRGGGGTGGTTGTTAACTCAATTCTGCATTATTAGATAGATACAAGAATATGTCACACCCACCTTCTCCTTCAGTAAACATGACACAACATTGGGGATGGTGGCCAAAGGGCCCTGCTCACTTTGAGAGCTCCTAGGAGTCATGAGTATAGGTGGCTTTCCTCCTGTTTGTCATTCAGAGATAGTTAGACTTGCTGGAAACTTGTCCGAGTTTGGAGTGGAACTCAAGTTCGTGACTTAAGTACATACTTAGCCACATGAGGTGTTTCAGCTCACTAGCGCATGGCTTCTCTGGCCACTGCTGTTGTCTGACTCTTCCTAGCCTCTTCCTTTATTGTCTTATCAGGGAAGGAATTGCTCTGTGCCATGCTCTTTGTTTTAGTCAGGTCTGCATTATTGGGTTGGCTGGTTTTGAGCAGTATCTTTGTGCTTGCCCTGCTTCACACAGGTACTATCCTCACGTTGGCTCAGCCTCCAGTATTGGGCAGGCCCAGTTTCCTGTTTCACCTGTCAGGTTGTCAGGTAGTCTTTTGCCTCTGTTGCTATGCCTTTGGATTCAGCAGTCTAACTGTAAAGTGTTTTCTCCCACAGGCATTGATGACAGGGAGCCTCCCTGGCTTTGTAGATGTCATCAGGAACCTCAATTCTCCTGCACTACTGGAAGACAGTGTGATCAGACAAGCAAAAGCAGCTGGGAAGAGAGTGATCTTTTATGGAGATGAAACATGGGTTAAGTTATTTCCAAAGCATTTTGTGGAATATGATGGAACAACCTCATTTTTTGTGTCAGATTATACAGAGGTCAGTTTTTAAAATAAGAGAAATATGCCATCCTAGATAGAGCCTGGCACCATCATCATCTAGTGTTATTTTGAATGTGACATTTATTAATTTATGGAGTAGTGTGGGAAATTGCAACCATCATTCATCCGTGTAATCAGTCACAACTGGGGACATGCACCCAGGTGTGGGTGTGAGGAGAAGTCTGTGGAGCCCATGTACAGAGTAGCTGAACACCCACTGAGGATGGGGAAGGGCACCATGCAGAGGAGCTGTCAGGGCAGACTCTGATGGGTGAGTGGGGGCTTCCTGAGCAGGCAGAACAGGGAGGCAGCATCCAGTACAGCACAGATGTAGCACTCCACCACTGCCAGGGATCCTCTAGCTTTTTGGTTCTGCAGGTGGTCCTGAGGGGCACTGGCCTATGCTGGGGTGCAGACTCCAGCAAAGGAAGAGTAGGATTAGACCCATGTGCTAGAAGTTGGCTCCAGGAGCAGGAGCACCAGTATACCAGCATGTCTATCTTGGCAGCTGGGGTCAGATGGCCTCAGATTTCAGTGTGCCACAGCTGGGGAGCATCTGTGGTCCTGCTCACACAGGTACCTTCTCCAAAGGTATGCCCTTTCCCATCTACCAGGGCAGGCACCACATTACTTACCAGCAGTAATGCACTTCCCACAGTGTATATGCCTGTGCGCAGGAACACTTCTCTCTGCAGTAGATGTATTGGGGGAGGGAAAGGGCTAGCTGAGGGGTCAGGGCTGAGCAGGCTACCAGCAAGGTCAGGAGCTGCTTAGCTGCTAATCTCTCCATTATGTGTTTGTTTCAGAAACAAGAGCCCATAAGTGCTGTCTCTTTCCTTCCAAGAATAGCCTTCTCGTGGGACTGCTGGTTACTCTAACTCTGGGTACTGTCCTGTCTTAGCTGCCCTTTGCCCTTGTTACCCCATGGCAACTTGGGGACAATTTAACTTGCTCCTTTGGGTAGCTTTTAGTTAAGCCTAGCAGTGATCCCACAGAAAAATTTTTTGTCATATCAGCCCTTGCTCATTTAAATTATCTGTATGATATGTCCTGTCCACAACTTAGAGAAATAAAAACAATAGCAGTGAGACTTAATCTAATATTAATGTTCATTTACTTATTTTTAATGACGTAAGGATTTTTTTTGTCTCGATTTGTGTTTTGTCTTTTCAGTTCCCATGAGTCCTGTGACCTAAAGTAAAATAAACCCCTAGATTTTAAAATGGCGCTGCTTTTTCCCTGGCAGGGAAAATTGGGCAAGCCATTTACATGCACATTTCCCCTTCAAAGGTAGATGATAACGTCACAAGGCATTTGGATACAGTATTAAAAAGAGGAGATTGGGACATGCTAATCCTCCACTACCTGGGCCTGGACCACATTGGCCACATTTCTGGGCCCAACAGCCCCCTGATTGGGCGCAAGCTTAGTGAAATGGACAGCATCCTGATGAAGATTCACACCTCACTGCTGTCCAAGGTGAGACTTCTGGGGCTCATTGCATGGGGATGGGTTTAGCATTGCTGATCTTCAGAGAACAGACCTACTTAAGTGAGTGCCACACTCCTGGCTATGCTCAGTCTTCCCAGTAATCCTGAACACCTTCCATTTCACTGTTCTTTGGCAGTGGAGCTCATATTCTGTCCAGGAGAGGCAAATAAGAAGGTAATAACCAAGAAACCAGTATGTTCAAAAGCAATTGGTGCCAAGGAGAACACGGGTGGAGGGAGCGGCACCCCTGTTCTGAAGACCTGCCATAGTTTTAAATGGCCTTCTGTGAGGACCTGCACAGTGTGAGCAGAGAATTAAAGGGAGAGAGGGGTAGACACTTTGCCTGCAGGTGGGTGCCAGCCAGGAAAGCAGCAGAGGCCCAGCAGAGCCTGGCTGCCACAACAGGAGCAGTGAAGGCTCACGGAATCTCCTCACATGGCTCAGAGCTCTCTCTGGGCGCTGGGGTTTTATCCTCAAACAGTCCTGTAATACGTCCACTGACGGATGAGGAAACTGGGAGTCTCATGCCTGGGGCTCACAGTCTGGAAGTGGTAATGACAAATCCTTAGCTTGGGAGACCACAAACAGCCTTCCTGCACTCTCTGAGCTGTACTTGGTCCAGTGTTTCTCCCATGCCATCACTTGACTCGGACCCTTCAGTCTGGCTCTAGGCTCATGGAAGAAGAAATCCAGTTTGCTGAGGAGTGCCCATTGATGAAGGAGAGCTAAAATCTGCACTGCTCCTTGGCAGGATCACACATGCTCTGCAGTGTGATGGCAGCTGACCCGGTCCCCTTGCCTTTCAGGAGAGAGAGACTCTCTCACCCAGTTTGCTGGTTCTTTGTGGGGACCACGGCATGTCGGAGACGGGGAGTCATGGGGCCTCTTCCACAGAGGAAGTAAGCACACCTCTGATCCTAATCAGCTCTTCATTTGAAAGGAGACCCGGTGAGAACTTAGCAGCGTTTAACATTGTGAAACTGTCTGGTTTTAATTCTTAAAAACTAAACAGGTTTCAAATATCGTAAGCCATATGGAATAAGAATTAAGGGGAGAGGGGCAGTAAGGATTTGGAATTCACACCCCTTGCTGTAATTCTTAAAATACAAATACTCTGTATAGGAATTTTGTTGTTGGAATGTTACTGCCTGGGTATCTGGAATTATTAAAAGAACACTGCCAGCAGCCAGGTGCAGTGGCACACGCCTATAATCCCAGCAGCTGGGGAGGCTAAGACAGGAAGATTGCGAGTTCGAAGCCAGCTGCAGCAATGGTGAGGTGCTAAGCAACTCAGTGAGATCCTGTCTCTAAATGAAATACAAAAAATGACTCGGGATGTGGCTCAGTGGTTGAGTACCCCTCAACCCACAAAAAAAAAAAAAAAAAAAAAACTGCCAGCAGCTTTTAGAAATTTGAACTGCATGTATGACTGAAGGAAATGTGAATACGTAAACTTTTAAAAATATATTTGCTGTGTAAAGCCACACATTGAACAACAGTGTCGGCCAGTTGGGGACGCAGTCAGACCAGGATTGGCTGAGGCCCATTTCTCAGTGTCTGATGTGACACTCTCTCTGACCCACAGTGCTGTAAGCTCCTCAGGGCTACCCACCCTGCGATCCTGTCAGTCCCCATGGGTCTGGCCTGTGCCTCCACAACTTGACTGACACATTCACAGTGGATGCAGCAATTATTTATATTATGCAGCTGAGTCCAATGGATAGTTTCTAACTCTGGTCTCACCCACCCTGCAGTATCAGTCATGCTGGTCCCAAAGCTCCTGGAGCTGCCCATTTTTCTGATTTTTCTCCCAGCTCTCTTTCTCAGTCCTTGTTGCTAGCTCAGCCTCTTTCCTGATCTTTTTTGCAGTCTGCTTTTTTGTGTTATTCTACCCTAGCTCCTAAGGGTGTGCTTGTCCACTTCTGCATCAGTGGTTGAAAATACCACAGATAGGCCACACCTGCCAGGTTTCCTCCTCTCTGACCTCCAAAACTGTATACACCCAGCTGCTCCCCTGCCCCTGAACTTGGATCTCATAGATAGAGCCAGTGTGGCAGCTTCACACCTGAACTGTCTCCCAAGTTTGTCCTTCCTTATCCCTGCCACAAATGTCACCACTATCCACTTGGGTCCCTCTTGCCCCACTTCTTCCTCACTCTCCACATTCCTTTCCATCAAATTTCCCTGTACATAAAACCTTTCAGTGGTTGAACTTAGGATAAAGATCCCTTAAAGGCTTCTTGCCAGCCCTACTGTTTCATCCTAGCCACTTTCCCCATTGCTTATGTACCCTACCTCTGCCCTCAGCAGGCACTCCCTCACCTGCCAACACCCTTGTCCTCACCCCTGTGGTCTCCTGCCCCTTGGTCCTAGTCTAAGTTACATCACCTGTCAGCTCTTCCACTGCACCCTGTGCTCCCTGCATCATTCTTCACCAGCTTTGTCATTATAGGCTTGTTTGTGGGATTCACAGCAATCTGCCTTCTCTTTCCACACTGAGCCAGAGGGGGGCAGGACCACTATATGCCAAGAGCCCCAGACATTGTCTGATGTGTGACAGGTGCCAAGAATTATTTGCTAAATGAATGAATCTTCAAACTAAGGGAGGAATGGTTGGGGAAGTGCTTCCACCTGCTTCTAGCTCTTCATAGCTTTCTCCTCTTGGGTGTCTGGCCCCTAAGATGTATCACTGGCTCTTATAACCCAGCCTTTCCCAGTGCCAGCTTAAAAGCCTGCCTCCTGGTTGGTGTACACACTGAGCCACAGCACCCAGTTCTGGTGCCTGATTCCACATCCATACCCTGGGCAAGGTCATTGTGCATCTCTCATATCTGAAAGAGGGCCCCTCCCTTCATCCACTGTTTGGTCACTCAAAAGGGGTTTATTGAGCACCTCTGATAGCCAGCTGCTGTGCTGGGCACCACTGGATTAACAAAAGGGAGCAGGCACAGCCTTTGCCATGGAGAAGGTGAAAAAGAGACTGTCAAGCTGGCATTCTTTATGTGGGAATGTTAGAGTCATTGTGTATCAGAATGCCAACATTTCACCTCTAAGGCTTGTATTTAAGAATCAGTAGGGTTGGCGTTGTGGCTAGTGGTAGCGTGCTCACCTAGCAAGCGTGAGGCCCTGGGTTCGATCCTCAGCACCACATAAAAGCAAATAAAGGTATTGTGTCCATCTACAACTAAAATATATATATAAAGAATATATATATATATATATATATATATATATATATATAAAGAATCAGTGGCAGCTGTCCATGAGTGCTGTGGGTACAACGGGCTTGGGTCCTGATAGTGGCTCTGTCTGGCTTCCCAGCTGCAGGTGCTTCTTAACCCCCATTGGCCACATCTTGAGCCATATTACGTGCCCTATAGTATCTTCACAGAGATGGGCGAGTCATCACAGTCAATTTTAGGACATTTCCATCTTCTCAAAAAGAGGCCCCTTGCTTTTGGCCCCTGCCCTCCATTCCCCCCAGTGTGGGCAGTCCCTGCTTTGCTTTTGGTGTCTGTGGATGGGCCTCCTGAATGTGTCACATGCAGGGAAGTGGTCCCATTGTAGCCTCAGTGCTGCACTTAAGGTAATGCTTCTCCAGGCTCATTGGTCTTTGTTCCTTTCTGTTGTGGAACCATATTCCATGGTGTGGACAGACCACATTCCCATTCACTGGTGGAGGGGCCCTCGGCTGCTTCTGCTTTGCTGCTGTGAACACTGTGTGCTGTGTTTGGGAGGGCATCAGTGTTTTCCTCCTGGACAGCTCTGCCCTGCAGACATGCTGCATTTCTGTTTGCTGGCAGCTGGCAGCTGGCAGCAGGATGGTATACATACAGTTTTATATCATTGCTTTTCTAATCAGTTCAGAGGAAGCAGAAGAAATGTGTTTCTGCACTATCTCTTAGGTCTACATGATCACCTCCACTGCTGTTCTTTCCTTTTTTATTATTTATTTATTCTAATTTGTCATACACGATGGCAGAATGCAATTCATTTCATATCACACATATAGAACACAATATTTCAAGTCACTGATTATACACAAAGTATTTCACACCATTCGTGTCTTCATACATGTACTTAGGGTAAGATGTCTAACTCATTCCACCATCGTTCCTACCCCCTTGCCTCCTCTTTTCCCCTCCCTCCCCTTTGCCTTATCTAAAGTTCCTCCATTCCTCCCAAGCTCCCCCTCCATTGCCATTATGAGTCAGCATTCTCATATCAAAGAAAACATTCAGCCTTTGGTTTTTTGGGATTGGTTTGCTTCACTTAGCTTTATATTCTCCAACTTTATCCATTTACCTGCAAATGCCATGATTTTATTCTCTTTTAATTCTGAGTAATGTCCATTGTATATAGGTACCAAAGTTTCCCTATCCATTCATCTGCTGAAAAGCATCTGGGTTGGTTCCACAATTTTTTAAAAAATATTTTTTAATTGTAGTTGGACACAGTATCTTTATATTATTTATTTATTTTTATGTGGTGCTGAGGATCGAACCCAGGTCCTTGCATGTGCTAGGCAAAGCACTCTATTGCTGAGCCACAACCCTAGCCCTGGTTCCACAATTTAGCTATTATGAATTGTGCTGCTATAAACATTGATATGGCTGTGTCCCTGTAATATGCTTTTAAGTCCTTTGAGTATAAGCCAAGGAATGGGATAGCTGGGTCAAATGGTGATTCCATTCCAAGTTTTCCAAGGAATCTCCATACTGCTTTCCAGATTGGCTGCACCAATTTGCAGTCCCACCAGCAAAGTATGAGTGTGCCTTTTCCCCCACATTTTCGCCAACACTTATTGTTGTTTGTATTCTTGATAACTGACATTCTGACTGGAGTGAGATGAAATCTTAGAGTAGTTTTGATTTGCATTTTTCTAATTGCTAGAGATGTTGAACATTTTTTCATATGTTTGTTGATTGATTGTATATCTTCTTCTGAAAAGTGTCTCTTCAGTTCCTTGGCTCATTGATTGGGTTATTTGGTTTTTTGGTGTTAAGGTTTTTGAGTGCTTTTTATATCTTAGAGATTAGTGCTCTATTTGATGTGCTTGTGGCAAAGATTTTCTCCCATTCTGTAGGCTCTCTGTTCACCTCATTGATTGTTTCTTTTGCTGAGAAGAAGCTTTTTAGTTTGAATCCATCTCATTTATTGATTCTTGGTTTTAATTATTGCGCCATAGGAGTCTTATTAAGGAAGTTGGAGCCTAATCCGACATGATGGAGATTTGGGCCTATTCTTTCTAATATTAGGTGCAAGGTCTCTGGTTTAATTCCTAGGTCCTTGATTCACTTTGAATTGAATATTGTGCATAGTGAGAGATAGAGGTTTGATTTCATTTTGTTACATGTGGATTTCCAGTTTTCACAACACCATTTGTTGAAGAGGCTTATCTTTTCTCCAATGTACATTTTTGGCACTTTTTTTTGGCAGGGGGCAGGGGTACCAGGGATTGAACTCAGGGCACTTGAGCCACATTCCCAGCCCTATTTTGTATTTTATTAGCCACAGGGTCTCACTGAGTTGCTTAGCACCTTGCTAAATTGCTGAGGCTGGCTTTGAACTTGCAATCCTTCTGCATCAGCCTCCTGAGCCACTGGAATTATAGGCGTGCACCACCATGCCTGGCAGCATCTTTGTCTAATATAAGATAACTGTAGTTATGTGGGTTAGTCTCTGTGTCCTTTGTTCTGTACCATTGGTCTATAGGACTATTTTTGTGCCAATACCATGATGTTTTTGTTACTATTGCTCTGAAGTATAGTTTAAGGTCTGGAATAATAATGCCACCAGCTTCACTTTTGCTAAGGATTGCATTGGCTATTCTGGATCTCTTATTTTTGCAGATGAATTTCATGATTGCTTTTTCTATTTCTGTGAGGAATATCATTGGGATTTTGATTGGGATTACATTGAATCTGATTTAGTGCTTTTGGTAGTAT